ATCTGTCTAGGCTGAAGTTTTGGACAAGTTGAGCAAATTTTGAACATTAAATTTTCTTTTTTCATTGCTTAATTATGTAGCTAAATTGAGAATCATTGTGATAACTCTTTGCTTCTGGGCGTGCCTCCTTTCCTCTCATTTGTGGTTCATTGTGTTTTGTTTAGACATCGATATATTAGTACCTGTTGGAAAATTAACCAGGAGTAGTGGTGTGCACCTGTAGTTCCAGCTACTGAGGAAGCTGAGACAAGAGGACTGATTGAGCCCAGGAGTTTGAGGCTGTAATGAACTGTGCACCACTGCAGACCATGTATCAAAAGAAAAAGAAAGAATAGAAGTCTGTTTAACTATGAGACAACACTTTTTAATTGATACATTAATACTTGAGTTGGAAAAGTGGAAATCAAAAACTTTATCAACATTTAACTTTATCGATAAATTTATCAAATTTATCAGTAGTTAAAATGTGATCAAAACATTTAAAAATGTACCTGAAATATATTCCTTTTTTAAAATTTTCTTTTTGGTGAATTGGGAGTCTCACTTCATCGCCCAGGCTGGAGTGCAGCGGCACACTCACGGCCACCCCAGCATCCATCTGCTGGGCTCCAGCAATCCTTTCGCCTCAGCCTTCCAAGTAGCCGAACTACAGGCACATGCTACCACACCTGACTAAGTTTTTGATTAATTGTAGAGAAGAGGTCTCACCAAGTTGCCCAGGCCATTCTCAACCTAAAATATATTTCAATCTGGTTATTGTGTTTTACTTTACATTACAACTTCTAGATTTTACTTATTTTATTCTTAATAACAAAAATTCTATTTGGTTATTAATGTAATTATATATGTACAGACAGATGCTTTCTGTTGAATTAAGGGCTTAGTATATGGATAGTGAACAACAGATTGTATAAGACCCATTTTTACTAGTTGCAGCACTGTACCTAACTCAGCCAGTTGTCAGGGAAGGGTAGCATCTAAACCAGGACTTTAAGGATGATTGGAGAGGGAGAGGGAGGAGGAGAAGGAGAGGGTGGGAGAGAAGGTGAGTTCATGAGAAAAGCAGAGACTTGAGTATCTACCTATGTGGTCTGTTCATGTGTGGTTGTATTCTTTAGAAACTTTGAATTACCAAAAGTCACGTTACTCCACCTATTAGTTTGATAGTGTTATATAGCCAGATTGCAAGAAAGGGGAATTGCCAGCACACCAAGTTCAAATTATGTGTCCTTTGTTAGCGCGGTCAGGAGTAGACTCACACCAAGAAGCTCTTGACACCAAACTAAACTAACAGGAAACTTATAAAGGCAAAAACTGCAAGTGGGCTATATAGCAGGGCAGTGAGGGAACAAGGAACTAAAAACAAAAGGGAACAAAATATAAGAATAAAATATGGGAATGTGGCAGGGGGATTTTGCGAAGAGCAATCTTTTGGCGCAACATCTGATTTCAGCTAACAAGGCAAACAATTTCACAGAACTTGTACCTAGGGAGTTTCAAACTCCCTAGAATGATCAGCTGACATGGATGGCAAGAATGATCAGCTGACATGGATGGCTCAGGGGAGCAAAGCTGTGGACCTGTGGTCATGGGAACGTTATAACAATCACATGTATACATTTGGGGGATCATTTTTAGGTTAGACAGGCAGCTAAGATGGAAGATTTTAACAAAATGGAGTTACTTATATCAAGCGAGTTCTTGCAGTTTTTTAATATATTTCATGAGCTATTTCAATAGGGATAAAAACGGTTCATGACTAAAGAATATAAATTTCAATTTTCCTGGCAGTTTCTTTAATGAAGAAATTTTAATAGCTTCTTAGATTATAAAGGTATATAAACCTAAACAGTGAGTATGTGACTAAAACTGATTATTAAAATCATGTTTGACTTTAGGGTCAGTGAATCAGTAGGAATACTTTTAGTTCCAGGTAACAAAATGTCCTACTACAATGGGTTAAGTAAATAGATTTTTGGTTGTTCCTTACATAAGAAAACTAGAGGAGATTAAATTATTGACTTAAACCAGTCCTGGTGACTTACACCTATAATCCCAGTGCTTTGAGAGTGCTGAGCCCAGGGTTTAAGACCAGTCTGGGCCACATAGTGAGAACTCATCTCTACAACAAATCAAAATTAGTCAGGCATGGTAACACATGCCTATAGTTGTAGCTACTTGGGAGGCTGAGGCAGAAGAATCACCTGAGCTCAGGTGGTCCAGGCTGGGCCACTATACTGCAGCTTGGATGACAGAGGAAGACTCCAGCTTAAAAGAAAGTACTAATATACTGAAAATATACATAGAGGGGGCATACAGTCAGCAAAATCCAAACTGTGGGAAATCTTAAAGACAAATAGCTCAGTGTCTTCAACAAAAAATAAAAGGGAAAAATACGAAATTGTGGATCACCAATGGAATACAAGTTACTTAAGAGATACACTTACCAGTCATAGTGTATGAACCTTATTTGAATTTCAGACAGACTAGAAACAAATTTCCAAGACAGTTGAGGATTTGTGAACACTGACAGGAGTTTTGATGATTTTAGGAGTCACTGTTCTTTTTTTTTTCCGGTTTATAATGGTATTGTGGCTATTAAAGTCTGTATCTTACAGAGAACATATTAAGATATGTACAATTAGAGTAATGTGTCTGGGATTTATACAGATTAAAGTGGTAGTGAATAAAAAGCAGGGACTAGAACCAGGCGATTGCCGGTGAAGACTGAGCCACTCTCGTACACCCTTCGCCTCTGAGCTTCCTGGGCCGTTCCTTGTGCTTGTACAGTGATGGCTGCAGCCTGCAGCTGTTCCTGTGGCCTGATGGCAGGAGATGAGGCAGTGTCTGTTTCAGAAAGCAACACTTAACCTCATTGCAAGCTTCTGCTTCCATCTCATTGACCAGAACTTGGTCACGTGTCTGTCCTTGGCTATCAAGTGGTTGGGAGAACTGGCTAAGAATGGGTGTTGGGTCAGCCAACCAACAGGATAAGCCAGAGGCAGAAGACTCATCTTTAGTTTCAGCTCTGCCATTTATTAGCTTTGTAAAATGAGGATGAAGAGGTGACTAGTATCACTAAAATTCGCCTTCTCCTCTTCTTCCTACTATTGGCGATACTGCTTGTAAAATTTGAGCAATGACCTAAATAGTTAGTGCTCACCGAAGAGTAGCTCTGGTTATTATCATTGCCACTCACATCACCACTGGCTTTGTTCATTCTTTTTTTTTTTTAAATTGAGGTAAAATTCACATAATATAAGATTAAGGATTTTTTTTTTTTTTTGAGTTGGAGTCTCACTCTGTCATCCAGGCGGGCGTGCAGTGGCACGTTCCTGGCCACCGCAGCCTTGACCTGCTGGGATCCAGCGATCCTTCTGCCTCAGCCTTCCAAGTAGCTGGAACTTACAGGCGCACGCTACCATCCCTGACTAATTTTTTTGATTTATTGTAGAGATGAGGTCTCACCAAGTTGGCCCGAGTGGGTTTCGAACCCGTGGGCTCAGGCAATCTTCTCACCTCCCAAGGTGCTGGGATTATAGACATGAGCCACCACACCTGGCCTAATACTTTTTTTAATTTAACTTCTTTTGGGCATATACCTAGAAGTAGAAATTCTTGGTCGTGTAATAATTCTATGTTTAACTTTTTGAAGAACTGCTGAACTATTTTTCACCATGTTCGCACCATTTTACATTTCTACTAACAATATATGAGAAGTCTACTTTCTTCACATCTTTGTTAGCATTTGTTATTTTATGATTATTGTACTTTCCTAGTAAGTGTGAAATGGTATTTTATTGTGGTTTTGATTTGCATTTCCCTAATGACTATTGATTTTGAACATCTTTTCCTGTGCCTGTTGGCCATTTGTTTATCTTCTTTGGAGAAAGTGCTAGCCAGTTCCTTTGTTGGGTTGTTTTGAATTGTAAGAGTTATTTATATATTCTGGATACTAGATTCTTATCAGATGTATGATTTGCAAATATTTTCTCCCATTTTGTAGGTTGCTTTTCACTTCCTTGATAGTGTCATTTCATACAAAAGTTTAAATTTTGATGAAACACTATTTATTTCATATTTTGTTGCTTGCACTTTTGGTGTCATATCTAAGAAAGAATTCATTGCTATGTCCTAAGTCAGAAAGCTCACCCCTGTTTTTGTTTAAAAGTTTTAAAGTTGTATCTCTTATGTTTATGACTTTGATCCTACAACATTGATTTTGGATCCATTTTTATTTATTTTGAGTTAATTTTTGTGTATGATAAGAAGTAGGGCCACCAACTTTTTATTCTTATCACATACATTATTCATTATCATGAAGCTTGAAGTCTTCGTGCTGAAGACTGAATGGTTTTTTTGAATGTCATTTTCACCATGCTTTCAACCAGTGGTAATGTCTTCCTTAATTTTTACAATTGGAAACAGTCTCATGTTGTAAAGTGCTCCCTTTTTCACTGATCCCATTTAATCCAGCTGTGTGGTAGGAAAACTTGAGCTACAATAGACATATTCACAGTAGGTCTGGGTTTTTAATCTGCTAGATTGGGGGGAGGGGATGATTGATTAGTAAATCCCTACTCTGTTTCTAGGTTTAAAGTTTTATACCTGGTTTCAAACATTGATTTAGTTACTGGAGTCCCATCCATGGGGATATGTAATTGTTATTTTTGCATTCTACTGTTTGATTTGGTAATTCATAGTCTGGGTGTATTTTTTACTGGATATATTCCTTAATTAGAAGCTATCTCACCAGCTCTTTCTTTTTCTCTTTCACCTACAATGTGAAGACCATGTAGTTTCTGGGATCTGTTAGAGTAAAATGTGATGGCGTGGTAGGTTATAAAACTGCTGTGTACTGTGCTTCAAAGAAAGCTTCTAGGGTAGGATAGGCAGGATGGCCTTATGCATTCTTCTGTGACTGACAAATGTTTTAACTTATAAAGTTGTCTATTTGTTTTAAACAGAAGAGGATATAATTTGGTTGTTTCTTTTTTTAGTATTTGATTCTAAAGCTTGAAAGGCCTGCTATAGTTCAGAATATCACATTTGGAAAATATGAGAAAACTCATGTCTGCAATTTGAAGAAATTTAAAGTCTTTGGTGGAATGAATGAAGAAAATATGACAGAGCTATTATCCAGGTGAGTTATGGTTATGGGGAGGAAAGAGTTGTCTTCCGACAAATAGTAGTTTTAGTTTAGTCTCTTTGTAGCCAAATCTGCTTGGTTTGATTTTATTTCAAGGGGAAAAGAAAGATCCTATTATTCTATTTCTTTTAATACTGCGACTTGTGTTATCCGTATGTATGTATGTATGTACGTACGTACGTACTGAGAGGGTTCATTCTGTTGTCCAGGCTGGAGTGCAGTGGCATAGTCATAGCTCACTGCGCCTTTGATATCATGGGCTAAGGTAATTCTCCTGCCTCAACCTCTCAAGTAGCTGGGACTGCAAGCATGTGTCACCATGCCTGGCTAATATTTTTACCAAAGAAAAAAGAATACTGTTTTTTTCTTTTTTTTTTTAATTTGTATTTTTGAACTGTTAATGACTTCAGAAATACTTTCAGCTTTAACAAAAATGTTTGCGGTAATGTTTGCTATAAAAAATGTAGGCACTGTCCAGAACCTGAAGGCTGATTGTTCTAATCAGAAGCAGTATCCCTGGAGACTGCATATAGCACGGTGCCCATCACTTGGGAGGGGCTCAGTCAGTTGAGTTTTAACATCAGACCACCAGGAGTGGTGTTCACTGAGGCCCCGGCTAATGAGGAGTCTGATAGCTAATGGAATGAACAAACAAAATCATGGAGATTTAGACTATATCTGTGACATGCTGTGGCTCCTTGACAAAATGTTTTATGTAAGTAAATATCACTTCTATACTACATTTGATTTAAGTCATGAAAGTATTTCAGGTCATAAGGCAACCTGAAAGTAAGTGTCTTTCCCATAAATACAAACGACTGTGTTGATCCCAGTTGTTTAAGTAGGATTTATTTTTATTTAGGATAAAGCAGATGCTATTAAACCAACAGAGTAGGATTGTCTTTGAAAATTTGCTGAACTATAAAAGGAACATTGTGTCATATTCAGTTATACATTGAGAACACTAGTCCCTGTCACACATTTCCATCCACTGTAGCCACAAAAAAATTTTTTTTTTTTTTTTTTTTGAGTCAGAGTCTCACTGTGTCACCCAGGCTGGAGGTGCAGTGCCACGCTCATGGCCACCACAGCCTCAACCTCCTGGGCTCAGGTGATCCTTCCATTTCAGTCTCCCAGGTAGATGGAACTACAGGCACATTCCACCATGCCCAGCTAATTTTTTGATTTATTGTAGAGACAAGGTCTCACCGAGTTGTGTAGCCACATTATGAATATTTTCATTCTCTCTCATTTAATTATGAGAATACAGTTATAATGCAGTTGATTTGAATGTACAAGTTTTGCCCTGCATTCTCATTTTCATCTACCTGTTTATATTGTCTTGGCCATATATTTTGAGAATTGGTTTAAACTTAAAATCTGAGTGTGACATTGATCTGTATTTAGTGTGTTTAGTAAATTATGAAGTCAGATTTGATAGCCTTATTTTTTTTCCACAGTGGCTTAAAGAATGATTATAACAAAGAAACATTCACCTTGAAGCATAAAATTGATGAACAGATGTTTCCTTGTCGATTCATTAAAATAGGTAAGGTTTTAACATTCTGGAATAGAAACAAATTCTTTATACCATCAGTCAGCAAACTATAGCCCATGGACCAAATCCTGAAGGTGAAGGTCTCCTGTTTTGTTTTGTTTTTTTTTCTTTTGAGTTGGAGTCTCACTCTGTCACCCAGACTGGAGTGCAGTGACCGCTCCTGGCCACCGCAGCCTCGACCTGCTGGGCTCCGGCAATCCTTCCGCCTCAGCCTTCCAAGTAGCCAGAATTATAGGCATGCGCTACCACGCCCGGCTGATTTTTTGATTTATTGTAGAGATGAGGTCTCGCCTGCCCAGGTGGGTCTCGAACCCTCGGGCTCAGGCAATCCACTCACCTCAGCTTCCCAAAGGCGTGGGATTACAGGCTGAGCCACCAAGCCCGGCTGGTCTCCTGATTTTTTAAATAAAAATTTGTGGGAACATGTCCTTGCCTGTTTATTGATATATTGTCCATGTCTGCTTTTGTGTTACAATGGCAGAGTTGAGTAGGTGCAAGAGCCCACAAAGCTCCCAAAGAGCCCACTATTCGGCTCTTCACAGAAAAAATTTGCTGACACCTATTTTATATAAGTCTATTACTATGTGACAGTTATTTCAAGTGGAACCTTTTCCAAATGTTTTCTTATTGAACAGATTGCTTAGAAGACTTTATGGAATCTAGGGATTCGATTGCTTTAATTTTATGGAATGTTAATCTGTTGTATTAAAGCTATAGCATTCTAAAACCATTCTAAAATAGTATTCTAAAATACTGATGAATTCCTTAAGGCCATGGTTATTATGGTTATTTTCTGTTCTGTTTTTTTGCATTTCATTTTTTAGTGAAATGCTGGTCAAAACCCATTAAATTGATTTCATGACCCACTAATATGCTGCAAATCACTATTTGAAAAATGCTTCCTTGAGGCATGTATTTATTCAGCAAGGATTTCAGCTTAAGATACTATTTGTAATGCATCCTTAAAATTGTATTTTTTAGGTTATTTTGTTTTCCTTTAGGATTTATTAATATTTAGAAAGTTGGAAAATTGATTATTTTCATTTCCATCCCTGTTGCATACCTTTGAAAATACTAATAAGTATTAGTAAAACATTAAAAATAAGGATTAAAGTTAGTTAGATCCCTCAAAGAAGAAGAAGAACAATAATAATAAGAAAAGCCAAAGTCCACATTTTTATTTGGAAGGATAACTTCTCTTTTGGAACAATCAGTGTTCTTTAGAGTCATTGTCTCCAATCTGTTGAGAGTTGACCATTCCATTTCATGAATCCAGTAGTTCTCTTATGCAAAAGGATTCGCTGAGGTCTTAGTAAAGACTGCTTAGAGACAAAAAACTGGTTTTTTTGGAATGGTTGGATGTGTAGTCTGTTACTTTCTTTTGTAGTAACTATAATTTCTGTTGTTTTAAAAAACCTGTATCCTCTTTTCTTGTGAGACTATATGAACAAGCACATTTTAAAAATTAATTTAACTTCTGAGTATTTCTTTTGTACTAGTAATAGTTTGTTTTTGAGTTGGAGTCTTACTCTGTCGCCCAGGCTGGAGTACTGTGGCACACTCATGGCCACCCCAATGTTGACCTGCTGGGCTCCAGCGATCCTTCGGCCTCAGTCTTCCAAGTAGCTGGACTACAGGCATGTGCTACCATGCCCGGTTAATTTTTGATTTATTGTAGAGATGAGGTCTCACCAAGTTGCCCAGGCTGGCCTCAAACCTGTGGGCTCAGGCATTCCACTTGCCTCGGCCTTCCAAATGCTGGGATTATAGGCTGAGCCACCGATCCCAGCCTGTAGTAATTTTTTTAAGCAGTGTTTAGACTTCTAAATTCCTAAAGACCTTTGCATAGCTTTTACAGTTTTACGATCTTATATTTCAAATAGACAAGCAGTGGAAATTGGGACCCTTGCTAGCCCTATCAGCCTTTCTTTTCCCCTTTCTTCTTCTTTTTTTTTTTTTTTTTTGGTAAGTATACTTTAAGAATGTTTTCCTTAGCTTTATTAAAGTATGGTGGACAAATAATAAGTGTGTATTTAGGATATACCATGTGATAGTGCTTTGACATATGTATACATGGTGAAATGAATAAATCAAGCTGATTAACATCTTCATTGCCTTACATACTTACCATTTTTTGTGGTGGAAACAGTTAAGATCTGCTGTATTAGCAATCTTGAGTTATGCAATGCATTATTATTACTGCAGCTACCATAGTACACAGTAGGTTTCCAGCAGAACTTACTTATCCTGCCTAACTAAAATTTTGTGCCATTTGACTAACATCTGCCCATTCCTTCCTTCAGCCTTTAATTATAGGGCATAATGATATCTTTTACTTGACCCAGGGTTAGTTTTATGTTATTTAGACAAAATGTTCATTGCAACTTTCCAAATGATATTAAATATTTATTAGCCCATTTGATGTTCCAGATATTAATACTTAGATAACTTCATATTTCTTACATTTCTTTTTTAAAGATTTATGAAGGAAATATCTGCAGTATGGTTGCTTTCCATCTTTTTCCCAACATTCTCTTGAGATTTTTTTTTTTTTGAGTTGGAGTCTCTCTCTGTCGCCCAGACTGGAGTGCAGTGACTGCCCCTGGCCACCGCAGCCTTGCCCTGCTGGGCTCTGGCGATCCTTCCACCTCTGCCTTCCAGGTAGCTGGAACTACAGGCGCGCACTACCACACCCGGCTAATTTTTGATTTATTGTAGAGATGAGGTCTCGCCAAGTTGCCCAGGCAGGTCTCGAACCTGCGGACTCAGGCAGTCTACTCACCTCAGCCTCCCAAAGGCGCGGGATTACAGGCTGAGCCACCAAACCCAGCTGAGAATTTTTTTTTTTTGAAAGTAATATAAGGGGCTAGGCTCGGTGGCTCAACCTGTAGTTCTAGCACTTTTGGAGGCCAAGTAGATTGCCTGAGCCTGCAAGTTTGAGGCCAGCCTGGGCAACTTGGTGAGACTTCATCTCTACAATAAATTAAAAATTGGCCAGGCATGGTAGTGCTAACCTGTAGTTCTGGCTGCTTGGAAGACTGAGGCGAAGGATTGCTGGAGCCCAGCAAATCGATGCTGGGGTGGCCGTGAGTGTGCCACTGCACGCCAGCCTGGGCGATGGAGTGAGACTTCAACTCAAAAAAAAAAAAAAAGAGAAAGTGATATAAGGAAAGTGTGGGACGAATAGCCTGTATGTTAGGTTCGTATTTTTAGTCTGTCACTATATTTTTCCTAAAAATCATTCTGATAAATGACTTGAGTGATGTGTAGCTCTCTTTTGGTGGTGATTTAACACAGATATTTGTTTACCTGGTTGGGATAAATTATCAGAGTTTGTCTTTTTTAAAAAGTATATTTAAATACTTCACATTTATATTCTATAGTGATATATTTGAAAATCTTGCTATATTTAAAAAATAAGTTCATCCTAAAGCAGCACAGCTTCTAAATATAGTTAGCCTTTACTTCCCAGGAGTGGAGAGGAACAGAGGCGAGGCTGATTCAGTGGCAGATAGGCTCAACCAGTTGTAATAATTTTTATTTATAATGAATATGGCTTATTCATTAAGTTTGCTTCATGAATTATACTTTCAAATTAAAGTAAGTTTGATCATAAATTGTTACCAAGGAAAATAAGCCCAAGTGTGGCAGGGATTAGGTTTTAAAATCTATGGTGGATAATTCAGATTGCCAGAGTAGCTGAACTGATGTCACTGCCTTCCTTCATGTAAATTTTACTTTCTTTAAGTTCCCTTTTATATAAAATGAGAGTACTGGCAGGATAGGTAGCTATATTGGGCATTTTTTTGCATTCTGTTCTAGTTTGTGAATCTGTGGGATTCTTTTGAATTTTAATTTAAGATCATATTTATGAAGGGCATTGTTTCATTTTGAATATTTCTTTTGTGCATTTTTATACTTAATTCATAAAGCTCTTGTTTACATGCCTTTTTACACATAATATTTTGGGTATTATAGAAAAAGAATATGTACAAGTGTAATTTGAATCATTCTGTCATTTCAGCAGTCATTTAGAGCTTGTTATGTTTTTATTGTTTTTGATGGTTTATAAGTGCTTTCACATGTGGTATTTCATTTGAACATCATGATGGCAGTTAAAAATATCTTCCCTATATAGCCGGGCTCGGTGGCTTAGCCTGTAATCCTGCACCTTTGGGAGGCTGAGGTAAGTGGAATGCCTGAGCCCGCTGGTTTGAGACCCGCCTGGGGAACTTGGCAAGACCTCATCTCTACAATAAATTTTAAAAAAACAAAAAACTAGCCAGGTGTGGTAGCGCACGTCTGTGGTTCCAGTTACTTGGAAGGCTGAGGCGGAAGGATCACCGGAGCCCAGCAGGTCGAGGCTGCGGTGGCTGGGAGTGGCCACTGCACTCCAGTCTGGGCGACAGAGAAAGACTCCAACTCAAAAAAAAAAAATCTTCTCTTTTTATTTTTAGTTGACACAGAGGGTAGGAGTCAGATGACCTCTTCCAGGATACATAGCTAGCATGTGATGATTCAAAGGCATAACATTTTGTATATGCATCACACTTTTGGATATGTGCTTATATTGCTTTAATAATAATAAGCTCTGTGAGATAGGTGTTACTGCACTTAATTTACAGAGGAGGAAATTGAAGTTAAGAGGTTATTTAATGACTTGGCCAAAACCATACAAGTAGTAAAGCATAGAGATGGGATACAAACTCAAGTCTACACATTCAAAGCTTGAGTTCTTTCACTATGTGATGTACGGAAGTATCGTTTCCTTAGGGAGATTGTGAAATCATTGGAGACAGTGACTCTGTCTTCTGTTTTCTCACATTTCAGAAGCATGGAACAGACTGCTTGCCTCATTATGGACATTGTGCATATACTTTAAAAATTGTACAAGAGTTGGTGGGAATAAATCAGTGGCTTCATGAACTTGCTAAGGAAAAGTGCATCTTTATGTTTTTTTCTTGCTAATATATTTAGCATTTCCTTCAATT